CAATCATTGTTTAATAGCATGCTATTCAGCTTCCAAGTGTTTGATTTTTTTCATTGTTTTTATTGTAGTTAATTTCTAATTTCATGCCATTGTGGTCTGAGAAGATGCTTGATAGGATTTTTATCTTCTTGAATTTGAAGAGACTTTGCCTGTGTTCCAATATTTGGTCTATCTTTGAAAATATTCCATTTGCACTTGAGAAGAATGTATATTCTGTAGCTTTGGGGTACAATGTTCTGAAGATGTCAATTAATTCTATCTGATCAAGTGAGTCATTTAGAATTAATGTTTCTTTGCTGATTTTTTTGTTTAGAGGATTTATCTAGTGGTGTCAATGGGTTATTAACGTCCCCTACTATGATTGTATTGCTGGCGATCTCTCCCTTGATATCTTCCAGAAGTTTTTTTATGTATTTGTGTGCTCCTGTATTGGGTGCATATATGTTTACCAGAGTTATATCCTCTTGCTGAATTGCTCCCTTTAGTATTATGAAGTGGCCTTCCTTATCTCTTGTTATGGCCTTCACTTTGAGGTCTATTTTGTCAGATATAACTATTGCTACCCCAGCTTTTTTTTTTTTTCTTTTCCATTTACCTGGAAAAATTTTTTCTATCCCTTCACTATCAGTTTGTGTGAGTCCTTTGTTCTGAGGTGGGTCTCTTGTAGACATCAGATATATGGGTCATGTTTTCTTATCCATTCAGCTACCCTATGACTTTTGATTGGAGCATTTAATCCTTTAACATTTAAGGTTATTATGGATAGGTAATTATTTATTTCCATTTTAATTGTGTATTCCTGGGTTTCTCTCTCTATTTCTTCTCATTACAGCAATCCCTTTAGCATTTATTATAATGTTGGCTTGGTGGTGGTGTACTCCTTTAGTCTTTTATTGTCCAGGAAACTCTATATTTGACTGTCTATTTTGAATGATAGCCTTGCTGGATATAGTAATCTTGGTCTGAGATCCTTGCTTTCCATTACCTTGAGTACTTCATGCCATTGCTTTCTGGCCTGTAGAGTTTCTGATGAGAAATCAGTTGTCAGCCTTGTGGGAGCTTCTTTGTAGCTAAGAGTTTGCTTTTTTCTTGCTGCCTTTAAGATTCTCATTTTGTCTTTTATTTTTGGCATTTTAATTGTGATGTGTCTGAGTGTGGGCCTGTTTGGGATTTTCCTGTTTGGGGTTCTCTGTTCCTCCTGGACTTGTGTGACTTTTTCCTTTACCAGGCTAGGGATGTTTTCTGCCATTATTTCTTCAAACACGTTTTCTATCCCTTTCTCCCTTTCTGCCACTTCTGGCACACCTGCTTTTCAAATATTGTTATGTTTCACCTTGTCCTACAGTTCCCTTAAGCTGTCCTCCTGTTTTTTAATTGTTTTTTTTTTTCTTTTTGGTTTGCTGATTGAGTTATTTTTACAACCCTGTCTTCTAATTCATTGATTCAGTCCTCAGGTTCTCCTAATCTGCTGTTTATTCCTTCCAATATATTCTTTATTTGTGCTATGTCGTTCTTTATTTCTGTTTTCATAGTTACTATATCTTTTATCGTGCTATTGAACATCTTTACCATCATTACTCTGAATTCTGTACTACATAAATTTCTTATCTCTGGTTCATTTATCTCTTCTGGAGAATTCTCTTGTTCTTTCATTTGGAGTTTGTTTCTTTGCCTCCCAATTTTGGCTGCCTGTTTGGGTTTGTGACTGTGTATTAGGTAAATCTGCTATGCCTCTCAATCTCTAGTGCAGGACTGTGTCAAATGCTGTTTCTGACTAATTAGATCAGGCAAGATTCAAAGCCTCCAGTAATCACCTCTGTCTACAGACTGATAGGATTTTGTCTTGAATTGCCCTCAGGCAATCATCCACAGGTGTGGCAAGAGTGTTTTCAACAGGTGGGGCAATTGCTTCTGCCTGGATGCTATTGTTATCCTGTCTCTTAATGGGCCTCAGAAACTCTGCACTGTGGTGCAAGGCATTTTCCAATAGGGTGGATCAACTGTCTTCTCCCCAGGCCAGGTCACCTGTATAACAAATGTCTGTGTGAGAAAGATGACCTCCGCAGTGTGAGGGAATGACTCAGCACAGGAAACTGGGGTGTCTGCCTTCTGAGCTCTAACCCCAGAGCCTCTGATCCTGGCTTCTGCTCACACAGCTCCAGTCCACTCTGCCCGCCCTCTGTCGGAGCACAAGATGGGTGGCTCCATAGGGAATTTTGTGTGTTGGCCCTTTAAGAGAGTGCTGGAATTTCCAGTCTCTCCCTGGCCCACAGCCACCCTGCTGCTTCTCACAGCCAGATGTGATGTGGGTACCCTCTCAGTTCTGGTGCTCTCTGCTGGGGGGCCCAGCTTGGGGATTAGACCCCAGAGTTCTCAGTGGCAACCCCCACAGCTGGGATATCTCTCAGAACGTCAGTTGCTGTCTGTGGGAGCCCGGCCAGCCCTTTCGCACCTCCGCCCCTCCTACCAGTCTCTATGTGGTCTCCACTCTGTCCTCAGT